TTCCTCTTGGATCAAAGCCCCTGCATGGTGCTCTGCAAGATCTATTCCAACCTCAGAGCCTTCAACCGCCCAAGCTCTGACTATGACCAGGGAGGTCTGCTGAATAGAGAATTCTAGATTGGGTCCTGGTTAGTTGAAGTCTTGCTGGAAAACTGAAATTTGGGTATAACTGGTACAATTCTCCCTCACCATCAGTTTTTATAAAATGCCTTGCGAGTCAGGGTGCTACTGGGAGTGAAGGTCAATGCCTAAGGAATGCCAGTCAGGCACTATCTTTCCTTGCTTCCAAGTCCAGTGCCCCAAAGCGCTCACCAGTCCACTTACTTTCTCAAACACGGGGAGATAACGATCTGTCGTTCTCTCTTTGATCAGGGCAATCTTGGCATCTTTTTGGTCAGGTGGGCATAGAGGCAAAACAATGATCATTTCATTCAAATCTGCCATACCTTCTGTGTACATATCTATCCTGAAAGACAAAGGGACCAAGTTGTCAAATGTCTCCTGCCTTGATTTTATAGTTGAAAAACATACAAGAATGGGCATCAGGAGGTGGGAAAGTGGCTCAGCTCCCACTGGATGCATTTTTATTGCCACCCATTCAGCTCAGATTTTTACTTGATTTGAACATTTCATTCTAGAACAAGCCATCAACGTAGATACATGTCTAGCTATTATGTGCAAAATTTTCATTACACACATGACCAAAGAGAGGGACAGAGAGCATTGGTGACCTGTCCAGAGTCGCAGAGAAATTGGTGCAATCCTGCATGTACCCACCTACAGGGACCGTACCTGGGCCTTGCCATATCTGTTGTGATTTGTTCTCTGCACAAGGTAATGTGACTCATGTGGCTAAGCCCTGCCACCGAAGTGATCTCTAGAGAGAGTCCCTGGCACAGCCATCTCAGTCATGTCCCTCCTGTCTCGTCCTATTACACACCCAGGCCCACTGATGTGCCCAATATCAGCAGGCTTTCCAATTATTTTCCACAACCCTACCCACATACAGTTACTGAACTCTGGCCTTGTTTGCATTTCTCAAGTCTTCACCTAAAATAACCCCAAAAAGGGTGGAATTCTTTGTACATTCCAATCAGTACATATTTTAGGAGATTTGGCTTTATTATTCTAAACTGGGCTTCCTATAAGAGTTTTTTCAAATAAAATCTTTATGTTCACATAATTCACATACCATAATGTATACACTTCTCAAGTGTAACAAGTTTGTGATTCTTATAGTAAAGACAAACAATACTGTACCATCACCACTCTAAATATTTTCATATTCCCAAAAGAAATGCTGTATGCTTTTATACTCATTCCAATTTCTTCCCTCCTCCAGCCCCTGGCAACCACTAAGCTACTTTCTGTTTCTCTAGATTTGAGTGTTCTGGATATTTCATACAAATAGAATCATACAATATGTGCCTTTGTGTCTAGTGTATGTAACATGATGTTTGTAAGGTTTATCCATATTGTACCATGCATCACTACTTCATTCCTTTTCATGGCCAAATAATATTCCATTGATGGATAGGCCAATCTTCCAACCACTGATCAGTTGATGCACATTTGTATCATTTCCACTGTTTGAACAGTAAGAACAACACTGCTATAAACGTTTGTGTACAAGTTCTAGTGTGGATGGATTTTCAATTGTCTTATGTGTACACCTAGTGATGGAGTTGCTGGTATATGGTAAATCTATGTTTAACTTTTTGAGTAACTGGTAGCAGAGCCTTCTGAGATTTAAATATCAATCATGTGGTCCTATCACAACAGAGGAGAGAACCCACAGATATGGTTGTGTTGACTAAAATTTGGCTGCTTTAGTCCTGTATCAAAATGCTCAAGATAACCTTGGCATCTTGAGGACCAGGCTCTGCTTACTCTTGTCAAGTGACCAGTCCATATAACAGGCTGGCAAGTGAAGTTCTTGGTCAGCATTCTTGTAATTTATGAACCTTTAGAATCAGCTCCTTTGGATCCTTCTCTTCCCCCATCTTATCTGCTAGATACTCAGACACGTTGTCCTTTGTCTCTAGCTGGTATCCAGCTCCTAAAGGCCTGAGTACCTGGAGTGATGAGCCGACCATCTTTCTGGCTTCATAGGTCATCAACATTAGGGAAACCCTCTCACCATATGTGCTCTATCCATGGACTGCTTCCTTTTCTGTGACCCCACTTGGTGAATCCACTCCAAGTAGAATTCCTCATCCTCACAGATCTCTGTGGTGTCGAACCTCAGTCTATCCCACCAAGTCTTGTGCTGCTGCTGGCCATAATCTCCCTGACACAGTCCTGCTCACCCAAGGAAGAACACAAATTTTCACATCAATTGTTCATGAAAGAACAGAAAAAATACCGTACAGGGCTCTCTCCTTTATGTCTTTCCCATAGAGGTTGTATTTGGTGGCAATATAGTTGAGAATGGCTCTGGTCTGCACCAGCTTCATTCCATCCATTTCCACCATTGGCACTTGCTGGAACATGAGACATCCATCTTTTGAAAGAAGAAGAGAAGAAGCAGAGTGAAATGTTTTATTGGATCATACTCTTTTAGCATGAAAAAACAGGTATTGCCATGACCTGAGACATAAAAGGAAACAAAAAATTATTGCCTGGTCACATTTCATCAAAACAGCATTTTGTTTTTAGCTTTCCCCTAACCCTCTTTGTTCTCAGTCTACCTCTTACTTTTCACCTATTATTTCATTTATCTTTTTCCTTCCGATGCAAATACATGGTAGGTTCCTGTAGTTTTTGCAGCTGATTTACTTCTGTGGATGTGTTGGGAAATCTTGAGAGAAGCTGCAACAGAGATGTCAGCACCTGTATTTCAAGTGAGAAGTCCCTTGGAGCTTATGCCGTCAAGGGCAATTCTGAAGGAGATGTCTCTGTAGGCTGTTTTATGTGCTCTTTCAGTTCTACCACCGGATGGTGTGTGCAGGGCAGGCCCTGCTTTCCTGAGTCCACTGATGCTTGTAGTGTTGGACCTTGTTCTTCATCTCCCTCTTCACACTGTCACCTGGCCTTTCAACTAATGCAATACCATCTCATTCTCTGAGTCTATAATATTGCTAGGTCTGATCTTGTCAACCCCACCAGAGAAAAGCACTCACAGCAATGGCTGACCTATTTCTACTTTTTCACTCTACTGCATGTGTTTGAGGGTCCTTGGATGGGCAGGCTGTGTGGGATGCTGAGCTGACCCAGCTCACTTGGGGTGCAGGAAAGCTGGAGAGAGCAAAGAGAGGGCATTTGCCGGACAAGTGGCATGATTCCTTTAGTAAATACTCAGAGTTCAAGCCCTTCCTAGCCCTGAATGAGATGGAAGACAGGCCCAAGGAGCCCCACCCCTTACACTGGAGCCACTTTTCTTCCTTTCCGCCACCCCCAACTCCCACCACACTCACAGATAGGTGTTAAAACCTCAGCTTATGACTTCTACCTGCTAGCCTCATCCCAGGAATTAGATACTTGGTCTTACCATTCCTTAATTTATCCCAGTCTTCTGGAGTTTCTATAAATTTCTCTTCGAACTGGAAAGCAGAAACTGAATTAGCATACCTACAATATCAATAATGCTTCTTTAAAATCATCTAAGATCAAGGTCCATGTTTCTAATTGTTGCACACATGTCATAAATGATATTTTGTAGTTCACTTAAATCCAAATCCAAATAAGGCCTACACACTGTGCTTAGTTTCCTTAAGTTATTTTAATTGTTTATGTTCTTTGATGAGAAGAAATTTTAATAATATATTAGGTCAAATCTGTTCATCTCTCTCTCTTTTTTAAAAGATTTTATTTATTTGAGAGAGAGAGAAAGCATGAGCAAGGGGAGGGGCAGAGGGAGAGGGAGAAGCAGACTCCCCGCTGAGCAGGGAGCCCGACTTGGGACTCCATCCCAGGACCTGAGATCATGACCTGAGCTGAAGGCAGACCCTTAACTGACTGACCCATCCAGGTGCCCCAAATCTGTTCGTCTCTTAATAGCTGACTTTTTTTTCTTTTTTTTTTTTTTAGAAAGAGAGTGCAAGCGTGGGGGCGGCATGCAGAGGGAGAGGGAGAGAGAATCCCAAGCAGACTCCACGCCCAGGGCAGAGCCCAGTGTGGGACTTAGTCTCACGACCCTGAGATCATGACCTGAGCTGAAATCAAGAGTCCGAGACTTAACCAACTGAGCCACCCAAGTGCCCCAGCTGACAATTTTTTTAATGCAAAACTCTTGACAGGTCATTTAGTAAGAAAATTCTCTTAGCTTATGTGAGAAAAGTACTTTGATAGAGTCAATTTTAGATCCAACTTAAGGTGACAGGACTCAGATCAAACCTCTACTCCTGCTGCGGCCAAGAGCCACCGGATGGACTCCATTCGGCCTCGTCCATTGAAGTAGTGAAGCTTGGGCTTTCCCGCCATGGTAGTCTCCGAATTTCTCTAAACATGATGAAAGAACAAACAAATGAATGGATTAACAAGTGAACAATACCACAGAAGCAAAAATGTACTTTTTGATGCATGGTCAGATAGCACCAACTATGTGGAAGGAGCATCTGCCTTCCTCACGGCAGAGTCGGAAGAGTCCCTAGAATGTCTTTCATGGCCCAGATTCTCATCCATCAGTAGCCAACCCTGGAAAATTGTTCCAAACCATGCTCATATCTCCACTGGGTAGAATCCGATTGTCTTGGAAGGCTAATAGGAGAGAGTGTACGGTAAGGATGTAAGTCTGGGCGTTAGGGGGAGGGGGAAGGATTAGAGAATTGATATTTATTGAAAAATCTCCTAATGATCGTGACCCAATGCTAGTCCCTTTGGATACATTATACCTTTAATCTTCATAACAGCCCCAAGAACTGGTTGTTATCATACCCATATCAGTTAATGAGAACAAGGCTCAGAGGTGAAAAGACGTGTCTATAGTCATTCTCAAGTTAGTGATGGACACGGAAATCCACACCTAGGATGAAAAAGAGAGGGTAGGGCCAGAACCCACACAAGTGCTGGCCCTGGGAGCCTGTGAGGGCCACTGAAACCAGGGGACTCCACTTACAAGAAGGGGAGGAGAGGCAGAGTCAGTCTTCCATTCCTTGGCTGTTATGCTGCTTTTGTTTAAAGCAAAATTAGGGCCGAGACTCACTTACCTATAGCTCAAAAGACCCTAGTTCTTTCCGTAGACACAGGATGCTAATTCCCTTCCTTTTTTTTGGAATTCTGCATTCTACCTTTACTTGGTGGCATTTTATAATCTGGAAAAGGGGATGTTACTGTATTAACTTTACAGTAAATGGAACAGAACTAACATTTCTTCAGTGTGTGTATGGGCGTGTGCATGAGTGCACACTCATTTGATCTGTATAATGGTAAGGGATACTTTGGTTCTGCCTGGTCAGTGAAGCTTGAAAGCCCTTGGTTCATCCCCGCCTGCATGAGAAGTGAACATAGCAGGGAGCCAGACAATGAAACCCAATGGCTCAAACAATGAATGCTCTATCATAGATGTGAATGGAAACACACAGGACTCAAAACCAGGAGTCTCAAAGCCAGGTCTTGAAAAGGAATAGGTGCATATTCTGTGCAAATCCCAGGCTCTGTTTACAGAACATTAAGATTCTCTTGCAAAATTTTGTTTTGGAGTTTGGGACAAAAAGATACCTCTCTTTACCCAATGTGATGTGGGAAACAAAGGCAGAAGGAAATGTAGATAAAATTAAATGTCCTCGCAGCCCACTGACAAACACTTGAGATAGGCAGAGTTGTAACATTCCTCCAGGAAACTCCCAACTGTCTTAACGATAATGCTTTGCTAGAGGGAAAAACAACCTTAGCTTGGCAATAGCAAGGCCTCTGGTACCCAGTGTCTTCTTTAGCATCTGAAGATCCTTCTGGAACATCCCTTATCTTTACTTCCCCCACCCCCAAAGCATATCATCAGTTGCTCCTCACAATCCTGAGGCAGCAGCTGTTCCTGCCCACAGGTCCGGTCCCTGTTCTTTAATTAAAACCACCTTTTTTTTGCGCTGAACAAGTCTCAAGAATTTGTTCTTGGCCATCCGCTCCAGACCCCACCAACACTACTCCAAAAAACTACCTCAAATGGATGTATCTCTGAAAAAGTGTGTGTGACTTGAATTTTAGATATCAAAATGTTTTCAATGTCCACATTTTTCATGTGGCACTCAATAGTTCTAACCTTTAGAAAGTAAAAGAACTGTTGGGGCGCCTGGGTGGCTCAGTCAGTTAAGCCTCTGCCTTCGGCTCAGGTCATGATCCCAGGGTCCTCCTCAGTGGGAAGTCCGTTCCTTCCTCCCTCTCTGTCCGCCCCCCTCAAACAAATACAAAAAATCTTAAAAAAAAAAGTAAGTAAGTAAAGAACTGTTTGGAAATGTACTTACCAAGTCATTTGTCTTGTAATTGGAGATTTTGTTTATTGTACTTTCTTATCATGGGGAATGGAGGTGCTGTGACTCAGCAGAATGAAAAGGAGAATGCAGCTTGTACTAAGTGTGTTTTGAACTACAGATCACGGAGCTGTGATAAAAGGCCGCACACTGCCTTACCCATTGACTGAGGTCAGGATACAAAAGTAAACGATGTTTACCTTATATAATATTTGATCCTAAGGCTCCCCAGGTAAGCAACTTTGCTTCCCTTCTGAACGGGAGGTCTCATCAAGACTAGGGCAAAGGTTGTCACAGAACTTTGCCTGATCAGCGGAAAATGAGAACCGGAGAGACTCAATGATTGGCCATAGAGCCACACACCTATGTTCCTGATTGGCACTCCGTATCTGGTGAGCCTGACCATCCCCCCAGGACAACCCCAGGAAACAGCTTCTAATATCCTCTTTTAAAGATGAGCAAATTCAAGTACAAAGAGACAAAGCCGCTTTCCTCCACTCACAGGTTGTGTGTGTTGGCTTAGTCGGAACTCACCTGATTTCAGGTCCTGGGCTTTTAAAACCATGTAACACTTTGACAGCTTCTATGCTTCTCTCTGAGACCCTTGTTAATTTGTTCCCATTCAGAGCCCATTAGCCAACTCCTGGCTGAAGGAGGCAGAGGGGGAAACATGGAATTCACAAGCTCCTTTTTTGTTAGCTGATTTACAGGGCTTGACAAGAATATTAATACAAGCACACCTTGCTTTGCTTTTACCTTAATAAAAAAGTAGAATCATATTCCTCAAAAGGAGAATATCCTATGATAATTCCAGCAGTAAATGAAAGGAGTTATGGCTCTGGATGTGGTCCTAATCACAGTGTGCGGGTCAGAGAGAGAGAAGAAAGCCTTGGAGACAAATGCGAACCCCTCTGCTTCTGAGTACATAAACTCAGCCAGGTTGTTAAATCTCTGCCTATCAATTTTCTCTTCTAAAAGCAGAGATAGTTACATTTACTCTTGAGGGCTGTTGGGAAAGTTAAGTGAGATCATGGACCTAAAACTCATAATAGGGATCAGTAAATGCAAGTCCCCTCCTGCTCCCTGTTTCTGGGCGAAGGTTGGTCTCTGGGCACACTGGGTAGCACACATCTTTCTTCTGTCTGTCTGTCTGTCTATCTCATCTCTCTGCCTATTTATCCATCACCTTGTGTGTATCTACCTCTTGACCCACAGAGCTCCAGTAGGAATCAGATGTTACATATATCCAGATGTTGTTTCAGAGTCATACAATCATTTATCTGGCTTGTGTGGAAAGACCAGTGATATTGACTGTGTGCTAACCGGAATTGCAGGACCTTTGACGAAGATTCAGGGAGGTCGGGCACATCATTAAACACAGCCTTTTGTAGCCTCAAGACGTCGGCAGATTTCTGGTTCGGCCCCTGCCTCATGCACCCCGCAGCGTCTCTCACCTCTGGCCCACCCCCCCGTGCCCCCGGCTCCCTGATCCAGACACTCTGGAGTCTTTCCTGTCCCCAGGCTCCTCCGCGTGGGTTCCAGCCCCGTGAGTGGGATTGCTGGTCACCGCACCGCAGTGCAGGGTCTCGCTGTCAACACTTGATGAAAATGATCGCTCCTCTCCAACATCCTGTTCCCTACCTGGTAACAGACATTTCACTGAACCTTCTCCAACACTTTGTTTCCGGCTGACGTGTCGTGTATTTCCTGCTTTCAAAAAGTTTCCCTCCAGGGGCGCCTGGGTGGCTCAGTTGGTTAAGCGACTGCCTTCGGCTCAGGTCATGATCCTGGAGTCCCGGGATCGAGTCCCGCATCGGGCTCCCTGCTCAGTGGGGAGTCTGCTTCTCCCTCTGACCCTCCTCCCTCTCATGCTCTCTGTCTCTCATTCTCTGTCTCTCAAATAAATAAATAAAATCTTAAAAAAAAAAAAAAGTTTCCCTCCAGCTTTCTCGACTAGCATCATTGAGCACTCTCCCGTACTAAGAAACCATGGCTGCACAGGAACAAGGTAGGAGCCTGATTTGGTTCCTGCCCTAGAGGGTTTGGAGACAACAGACAGCACACAGAGGGCCCAGTGGCAACTCTAGTTTCGTTGGTTCCAATGAAATCATGATTCATGATTCTCACGGCCAAGCAGGTCACAGCAAGGCGAAGGCTGCCGGGCTGTAAGCCGAGGATGCTGTGCCTTCTGTCCAGGCCGGCTCCTGCCTCCCGGGGCAGCATGACATCCTCATGCTCCGTGCCTCTTCCACCCCCACCTGTCTGCCTCCCTGCCCTTCCAATTAGGGTCACGCCACATCCCTGTCAACCTTGCTCTCTTTAGCATCTTGCAGAATGTTTTTCCTCATTGCCATCTCAATATCTTCTGCCATAGGTACTGTATTTTTCCCCGTGGATTCTGGATTGTTACAGTGATGTCACTGACCCTCTCGTCTCACCTGTACAAAACCTGTCTTTCCCCACGGATATTAACACTTCCGGCAGCACATTGTTGACTCTTCCAGTCTGATTCCAATGACTCATGCATTCTAGCTAGGTGAATTTCTGTGCCTTTTAAAAATGAATGATAT